AATCACTCGTACGCACAACTTAAGAACAAATCTGTGCGTACGAATGGTTCTTGCATGAGGCCCAATGTTTTAATGTTTTTTTTATTTTTTTTCAAAAATGATCTTATTTAGTTTTTTTTTACATTTTCGTGTAACTTTGTTGTTTTGTTCATTTGTTTGGCTCAAGTGTGAAGCATTTTGCTCAACTCATGTTTTTTTATGTGCTATATAAATTAAATTAATGACARTTTTTACTAAAGACTCGTGAAAACTGTCGACTACATGCAGCTTTTTCTTTTAGTTTTACACATTTTCATTAACATTTAGTTGTGTTTTGTTGTTTGTGTTGTTTCACTCTACTCAGATGCAACTTTACACACATTGAGRAACTGGACCTCAGATGGTTTTTAGCTGCATTTTATAATTAATAGTTTTATCACTCTGCTCTATGCTGAGTATAAAAAGCCATATCAATAAATAAAAGAGGAAACAGTTAAAGTTTCAGCTTCGTCAGAATTGCTGAAACTTTAACTGACAAACTGTTTCTGGTTTTAGAAGCTGTTGCTGTGTCATAAAATAAACCTTAAATATAATGTGTGTTTTTACATTAGTCATTTATTTCACACACTTTGACAACAACAACTCTGAGGAGCCACTTGGTTTAGTTTCATTTTTACGATCTGATGTCATCTGTTTTAAATGTTGGGCTCTTATTTTGAAGGTTTTGATGCTCTGTGATGTTCTGCACTAACTTTGGTTGATTAAAGTCATTTTGAAAAACTTTGCTGTATTTCAGTTCATCTGTTGTGTTTTTTACACCTTGTGTTATTTTAGCAGCTGTTCTGCAGGTTTTTTCACTTACGTCAGTTTTTGTTTTATGACTTCAGGATGTTTCTGCAACAGTTTGTTTCAGTTTTCTTTTTACTTCTTGTGACCATCGAATCCATGTTTCTACCAAACATAAAGCTGCTGACTGTGAATTAGTTTTATCGWTTACAGATTTAAATCTGTGAACATTTGTTCACAATCTTTATTTTTAGGTCATTTTTAAGAAGCCAGTCAGGATAAAAAGCTTTTCTTATCAAAAATAAGACAACTATGTCCAGTAGTTTTTCTAAACTGTTTTCCTGCCATCAGCATCTACAACATGTCTTTAGTTAAATGAGTTATACAATCTCTAATGTCCCTCTGGGATCAATAAAGTATTTTTGAATTGATTTAAACTATAAATCCAAACAGAAGTCCTTTTTTTTAATAATGAAAGTTTTAATCTGCAACACACATGTTACATGTTGAAGATAATAAAACTGTGTTTTATGCTCCCTGTGTGAAGTGAGGGCAAATTGTTTTCATACTGGGTTTTATTTTATTTTAATTTTTTTATATATTTGATCAGCCGTAGCACGGAAACGGCTGCACCGATCAACATGAATTGAATGTCTTTAGGAACGTGGATGAGTCCGACCCACACTGCTCCAGCT